ACAGTCTTGGCTCACTGCAACCTCCACCTCCCGGGTTCAAGCAATTCTCCTGCCTCAGCCTCCTGAGTAGCTGGGATTACAGGAACCTGCCACCATGCTCAGCTAAATTTTTTTGTATTTTTAGTAGAAACAGGGTTTCACTATGTTAACCAGGCTGGTCTCAAACTCCTGACTTCATCAGGTGATCCACCCGCCTTGGCCTCCTAAAGTGCTGGGATTACAGGCATAAGGCACTGTGACTGGCTAGCTACTGGAAATTCTAACTGATGTCAATATAATACTGCACTACAATTTTTGGTTTTAACATTTAAAAAGCCTCAAGAGTACTGAGTTAATCTTTTAAACATAAATTCACATTTCCCCCATCAAATGAGAGGATGATTTTTTTTTATTTTGAGTTTGATAAGCAAATGAGTAAAATTCTAATTTCCGAATCTGATTTCTTTCAGAATATACCTGGAACACAAAAACCGGTGGGGGGCAGTTTTCAGGACGTACTTACAATCCTACAGCAAAAAACCTAAATATTGTGAACCGTGCACAGCCCATTCCCTCAGTGCATGGGAGGACAGACTGGGTGGCTAAGTATGGAGGCCACCGGTAGGAGTCTGTGGTTGAAACCCACAGCATTGCTCCATAGCGTACATGCAAGTTCCTTGACCGTGGGAAATGTCTACAAATGTCTATTTCTGCTACTGAGTTCTGGAAGAAATATGCAAAAGTGGGTACCTGGAAGAGCAAAAGTCATCTCCTGTTTTTCTTTCCATGAAATCCATTTTCTTAGCATCATTGCCCAGTGTTTATATATGAGTAAGATGTTACAAAGTATTGAATAAACTATTTGCCAAAGTATGAAGTATTCAATCTACAATTTAATAAACAGTAAATCCAATAAGAATCCTTAAAGAAAGGAACTTCCAGAAAATGTTTAGAGCGTTTTAGTTTCATTTGTTGTATGTGACCAAATGATTTATTATTTCATCACTTTGCAGTGACTGGCTCTTTTGTTTTTGCACAGCAGCTGGGCCAACCTCTGCTGCCTGTCAGCTGTGATTCTTATTTGGCTAAGGCTCTGCACTGCCATTTTGTCAATGGCAGAAAGATTGCAGTTATTAGTTTTTCTACTTTGAAACTATGGGAGCAATGGCAATTTCAGTATTGAGCAGGACATTTTTTTTTTTTTTTTTTTTTTTGGAGGCAGAGTTTCACTCCATCACCAGGCNTCCTGCCTCAGCCTCCCTAGTAGCTGGGACTAGAGGCCTGCACCACCATGACTGGCTAATTTTTATATTATTAGTAGAGACGGGGTTTCACCATGTTGGCCAGGCTGGTCTCGAACTCCTGACCTCAGAAGATTCACCCGCCTCGGCCTCTCAAAGTGTGGGGATTACAGGTGTGAGTCACTGTGCCTGGCTCTTTTTTTAGAAATAAATTTATCTTTAACATCAAAGTTATGCCACCGGATTTTAGTAGATATCTATGTTTTGATCTTGACCAGTACATCTCCCATGAATTCAAGGTGACCGTCAAACCCAATGGCTTGATGACTTCCATATTAATCAAGTCAGGGTTCTCTTGGTTTGACATCATTAAGAAAGTTCTTGAAACTATGTTTGATGCTGGTTCACTGGACTTTTCAAACTGCTTTGTTGGTGTGTCCCTACCAGGCACAAAGATGAAGCTTACCAGCTGGTTCCCCCAAGCCAACTCATGCTGCTGACCACTGACTCAGCTCTGACCTTCACATTTGCTCTAAAGCAAGTGCGTTCAGCTGCTGGGGCAGTGATTTCACATAGTACATATATTATTTTCTTAGTTTATTTCCAAACTGGTATTTTAAATAGGCACTTTGAACTTTGCACTACTCTGTTTAAACTTGCAATTTCTGGACTGGATAGTACTGTATATTCTTTTTAAAGAATAATAATGTTATCAACTGCTGAGATTTTTATGTATTTTGTGACTTTGTAACAACTGCTATTGTAATAGGTATCACCTTGTGGGCATTATCCAAAGGCATATTATAAAATAATAATGATATTTTTGTATAGAAGATTCAGCTGTTCAGATGTAAGATGTTGAAAAATGTTAAAATCTGAAGAGTAATTTATCCTAGTGGTAATGGTTAGATGTATTTGTACAGTTTAAATCAATATCTCAAAGCTGTGCAGTCTTTTCTGTTACTGGGAAACTTTTAAACTCTATTCAGATGTTAAAATAAATATGGTTAACTAGTGTGTTTTCATTATGTTTTTAAACATTATATTCTGAATGCTATTTGTTGTTGTTATCTTATTTAGTAGACTTTAAAAAAAGCCATTTTAGGGCCAGGTGCAGTGGCTCACGCCTGTAATCCCAGCACTTTGGGAGGCCAAGGCGGGCAGATCACTTGAGGCCAGGAGTTCAAGACCAGCCTGACCAACATGGTGAAACCCCATCTCTACTAAAAATACACAAAAATTAGCTGGGTGTGGTGGCTGGCACCTGTAATCCCAGCTACTCAGGAGGCTGAGGCAGGAGAATTGCTTGAACCCAGGAGGCAGAGGTTGGAGTGAGCCGAGATCATGT